CTAGCAATAACTATAACTACTCAATGAAAATACTGAAAATATCCTGAATGTGACTCTTCAATTCTACGCTGTGATCATGTGATGAAGCAGGAGGTATATCACAGTAGGACACTCTCTTCTAATTATTATCTACTCTTGCTATTATTATTGTTACATGTCTAGTGTATGTAGCTGAGGCTGTTATTTGCCTCTATCAAAGCTTGTGGTTAACAGGAAAGCCCATACATATTATACTGTGCAGTACTATATATTCCCACACAGTGCTACATTTACCTACCATGCGGTTATTGGAAGTTGTAGCACTGGCGGCGCCTTTGATCCGCCCATGCACCATACTACAAATACATATATACTATGATCATTACTTACAATGTATCATAATCAATCTGTTTCTGATGCTTCCATATATTATCATCTGAAACTTTTTGAAGTATTTGCTCCTCAATTGAAATACGAATCCATAGACTTGCTTCATCGACGACAATGCCACTGATTAAAATGTGTACAGCTTCTGTATTCAATTTCTTTGACAACTTCAATTTTATTTCGTGTAATACCGAGCCAGAATAAAGATCTCGCATTGGTGGTTGAATAAGAATGAAAAAAATAGAGTAACCAGATGCCAGAACAGCAGGAATAGATTGTGAAGGAATTTGAAATACTTTAAAATCTTTCATAGTGCTCTTATATTGCTCAACATACATAGCAAAAACCTTATTATTTCCAAGGTCATTATCGAGCTCTTCTAGAAGGTCATAATTAACCCAGTTGCAGCGCTTCAGGATGAAAACGTGAATATCAGTTTCACTTGTCACTTTCAGCCAATCAACTATGCGCTCTTGTGCGATATCTTCAATAACTTTAACGTACGATTGTGCAAAGTTTAGTCTCAGTTGTGTTATAGATGGTTCGTCCCCTTCATTTTTGCTGCTTGAAGTGGCTGATGTCTGAGCCTGATGCTCTGATTTGATATAACTAATCACAAATCTGGTAATGTCAATTGGTACTATCTCAGACGTAAGAAAAGCTTTGACTAATGTACGACAATTGGCATGCAGTGCTTCCTTGTCCCTCCAGTCCCACAGAATTTGAAGAGCTTTAAAAGACACTGACCCACTGGATTCAGGAACAGAGCAGCTGAGGCAGTCAGCAAGAGGTTGTATGTGATCAGCAGAAATACGAAATGAGAGGATAATGAGTAAAGCATCAGTGATTTCATCTTTTAGATACTGTGCAGCTAACTGAAGCTGCTGCACAATAATTTCAGTTGCTAAAACAAAATAGAAATAAAAAATGAAAGACACAATAAGTTTCTTACCATTCCAAAGTTTCAAAACATTGTCAAAACTTTCAATTGTTTCTGAGGCAGGAAGAAAAGTGCAATCCAGTGGAAATGTCATAGTTTCTAATTGCAGCAAATGTGAATGAGATTCCTTTGAAATAATTTTGAGGGAAAGACAGAAATCGAGTAACTGACGCCGATCAAAATGTGACGGCAAAGATGATAAAGCCTCACTGAAAACGTGAGTGCTGAGAAATAACTCTGACTTTGAATGGCCTTCCGGGGATGAGAAGAAGAATGGCACCTAAATTATAGTAAGTGAATTACAAATGAACAAATGAAACCATAAAATTAAACCTCAGGAATTTTTACAACTTCCTTACCACCCAAAACCATGGGCCACAACTACTTTTTGATGAGGATTTACAATCTGGCACCAGTTTAGGCCAGCATACCATATCAATTTAATTCAGTCAAAAGCATTATTAGACAATTGTGGATCTTTTGACACATGATTAGAGTTAAACTATCATGTAATTAAACTCCATGCAGTGTCAACACAACATCAGGTCTGGTATAATAATAATTATAAATCCACCTTTACTGTGAACAGCTACAGGCCACAAACACAATCTGTTCAAGCCTTGCATGCATGAATGGTCACAAAGTGTAGTTTATGTGAGGGTGGGATTTGACCAAGATATGACTTACACATTTTCTCAGGCCCAATAAGGAAGAAATATCTCCTTCTGTGTCCTTAGGCACTGCATTGTCATAGGTTTGATCTAAAGCAGGACTGGACCACTACATGTTAATTTAAAATTAGAATTGTTAGATATACAATACATTTACTTACGGCGAGAGGCAAGTTTTGTGTCAAATCTTCCACTGCATTACCACCAGGACTTTCATTGTCAAAATCAGAAGTCATGCCTCGAGTTTCACCGTCCATTGTTCTACCTTGGGTTCTACTCATCTCTGCAATCAGTGAAGTGGTTGTCAAAACCAAAATGACTATGACCATAGATGCTATGACAAAATTTATGAGCCACGCCCAACAATGGAATCTATAATTTCAGTATTATTTTAAAATTGAAAATGCAGCTAAAAATATATTAATGCAAAAATGAGGCCAAATTTACTAACAGCTATTTTGACTAATATGCTATACTAGCATTTCAAAGTTTCTCAGCAATATCACTGAACCCATTCTCTTTTAATTTATCCTTCAGAGCATGCCTAGTTGGCTTGCTGGTTTGTTTTTCCCACAATAACAGCATCAACATCATTGCCTTCTTTTTACTATCCTCATCTTGTAGACTACTCAAGTCAGGCAAATTACTTTCATCAATGTTCAGTGCTCTTTTAAAGGCCTCAAAATCATATTTGCCTGTAATAATGCCAGAAATGTCTTGAAAGCTCAGTAGATCATCTAAAAAAATAATCATAATATCAATGAGCTGTAACTGAGTTGATGTAACAGTAAATTAACATTATTTATTATTATTATTATATTATTAATTATTGTACATGTATTTGGTACATTCTAGAACATTCATGTGGACTTTCTGTACACTTCTAGGCAATTCATTTTTGTAATCACTCTGTATGTTTCTAGACTGTTCTCTGTACTATATAAGGCACTCTCTCTTGTTCTCTCTTTTGTCTTTTTGTTGTCCTTCGTTGTTGTTAGTTCTTTGTTAATCATTGTCAATTCGATTATTACAACATGAGTTAACACTTACTTTCACTTGTTCTTGCTTCGCCACCTTTGCTTAACAAGTCACACTACATGAACAAAATACACAATAATAAAACCACAACTAATGAGTAATGACACATAGATAATTATTTTATTGTAAATAAACTTGCTCCTTAGTATGCTATCATTATACCTGTTTTGCTGCTTTGCTCCAACATAATCTGAAATTATTTTCAGCTGAACAAGCATCACAGAGCTGAGGCTCACAATTGTGATAGAGAAAATGACATCCACCTTTGGAAGATGCACAGGGAACAGCAAAACTGTATTTGAGGTCACGTATCGTATTAATTTTTCTTTGGAGACATCTACAGGAACCAGTAATTACTTTGTAACATGCTTCAACTGTTGCTGGAAATGAGAGTATGTCACTGGAGCTGTTCATTATTCTTAATCTTGTCTTGCTTCCTTTGTATACCATTTCTATTGAAATAGGAGGACCACTCTCAGATTGGAATAGAAATCGTGAGATGTTGCTGTAGTCTGTAGCAATAAGAACAGCATCTTTATTATTCGTCATAATGGCATTGCTAATGCAAGCTTGTACATTGGCTGGGAAGTTAACACTCTTCATCTCAATGAAAGCATAATCATTCTCTTCTTCTGGTGGGTTATATTCTGCACGGATTCTTGCTAACGGTAAATAGTAGTGTACCTCATCAAGTTGCTGGTGATCATCAATGAGAATAGACCGACCACTTTTGATTTTAGAGGCCATTGCAATTGTCGTAAGAACTGTCATGAAATCTTCAGCACTCTCAGGATGCTTGCAAAAGATTTTTTTCACAGATGACTTTGATATGACTCCATACTTTAGCAGCTTGGGAGCATATGAGTCTCCCTCTGGATAGTAGAGCTTGTCAAGATACTGTGTAAACTCCCAAATATTGACAATGACAATATCTTTGACTTTTTCATACTGAGGCATGTAGAGGATGCTGCCAAAATCTGTGAATGTTTTTAAAAATTCATCAACCTCTTTCTCTGTCATCTCCAGCTCCTTCGCTTTCTGTAAAATGAAACTCCTATGCAGGATCATAACTTTAGCTCCTCTACTGTCAAGTGACACCACTAGACTCCTCAGGACTATCCATCTGAGGGGAAGGAGTAGGGTACGCTGCTTGTACTTGTATTTGATGAGGTCTTCCATCTTCTCTCCAAATTTTTCTATGGATCGTTCATCATTGACATCAACATCTAACCAGTTCTTTAGAAACTGATCTACATTCCGTGATTCTGCTTGCTTGATGATTTTGTTTTTGACTTGATCCACCATCTTGGAATCTTTAAGCGGTTCATTTCTTGTTGCAACCATAACAGTTGCATTTTGTACTTCTTCTTCCTGATTATGCTGTTGCTGAGTGTAACCAACTGTAGCAAAATGGAGGAGATATGTGAGTCGTGACCTTTTCTTCATAACTAAAACATCATCATTTCTCTTTCCATAGCGATCAGAAGGTAGGTCAGCATAGTCATCAAGATTAGGCCCATCTCTATTCATTGAAAAGAAAGCAAGGCGAATGTGTCGATGGCAATGCAGCAGCATCATAGCTAAGAATGGGTAGAGAGCCTTATTGACACCAACGTCAATTACATTAATAAAAGAGACACCATCATGAATGAGGGTCAGCTTGCCAAGGTCATCTTTAATGCCCTCTAGTAATTCTTTAGTCTTGCTCTGCAACCATCGAATGTGCTTATCCATGACAGATTTTGGTGACTGGCTGGTTATTTCAAACTTAATATCTGCGACATAATATGGGTTTCGGCGAATGAGACCACAAAGAGTTGAAAATATTGCTCCATATCGATTGGTGGCAAAGGACCAGGCAAACGTATGGTGTGTACTGCCAAGAGCACATAAATCATATATCGACAGACACTTCTCATCTTTCTTTCTGTTTAAATAATGATCAATTTTTAATTCTGCCCCATCCTTTAATTTTATTTTTTGTTTGAGAACTGATTCCAAAATCTTTGTCTTTCCACAGTTAGGTAAACCCATGACTGCTACAAGACTTGTTGTCACTGGAACCCTTTCATTGAGAATGAGCCTCCAAAATACTTCATGCGATATCTTGCCCTCTACTAATAAAAGATGGAAAAATAATTAAGCATTAATAAAATGAGGGTATCAGGGATATAATAGACTAACGTAACTGGGATTGGTTACGGACCGGAAACCAATTTATGGGTCCATTATAAATTTAAATTAATTATATATTCATAGTTTTGGTTTAATTAGCCATTATGCACTGATGAGTAAAAGTTGTGTAAAAATAAAACAAAGACTAGAATTAAAAAATAACCAGTACATTCTCATACAACGATTATTGAACTAGTATTATTATAAAATAATGCGAGAAGAGTCATATCTAAATCTGCCACAGGTACACAAAACTGGCCTTTGAAAAAGCACTTTTCCGGCTGTATTATGAAGTAGAAAGGTCTAAATAGGTTCTTTTGGTCCTATTCTCTATGAACATAAAAGATGGTATATCACAATATGATTACAAATCCATAAACTCCAAGCTATCTTACCAGCCAGCAGAGGTATATATACAAATCAGGGGCATATCCAGGGGGTGTGTGCTAAGGGTGCACAAGCACCCTTAGCACTGTATGATTTGTATATCCTCCTTATGGCTAGGCTCAGAAAAATTACTGAATTTCTGGACTCTTCCATCACTATCAAGCCTCTTAATAAAGTTGTCTACCCCCCTGATTATGATATTTTAGCAGTTTTTAGTGCTTTAAGGAGTGATCAGAAGTACCAGTATGCTTGAATTTATCTTGACCCCACCCGTAATTGACAAAATGAAGGAAAACACCGTTTTACCGCTGAAAAAGGTGGGCATGGTCAAAATCACAGTGTGCTTTGTGCCCCCCCCCCAATTACAACCTTTGCCATCATCTGTACCCCAGCACCCTCTTTCTAAAATCCTAATTACACCCCTGCAGATTGTGACAACATCGTTAAGTATCAATCAAAATGAAAGTAGCGGATTATCCCTTAGTAATGGTAGTATAACGTTTTGAGAGAGACACAAGCCTGTTGACAGAAAAATAGCAACATTAGTGATTTGCTGAAAGAGTCGACCATCTGGAAAATGGTAACAGAGATTGCGAAAAGTTTTTATACATAAACGATGCGCTCGAATGATCCCGTTGCCAATCCCGGTTATGTTAGTCTATTATATCCCTGGTAATATTTGGTAAATTTGACAATGGTAATATGTCATTGAACATGCTTGGATTGAAACAAAATGGCTATTTTATTGTGATATCTTTGCAGAGCTGCCAATCACCATTATTGCCTGGAAATTATTTCAGGGTTTCCCATAGTGCTAATGCAGGTCAGTGGATTTAAAGTTGCTCAAAAATTTTACAAATACGCGGGGTATTTTTAAAAAATCAGGGAAAGAATTTTCTATTTTTATAATTTTTCTAATAAACATACATATTTGGCTTGTACATCCTATTTTTTGCTTGTGCTATATAGAAATTTTTAGCTTATTGAATTTTTTACAAAATTTTAAAGTTACTAAAAAATTTGGCCAAATTCTGGTCAAATTTGGCCAAAAATGATTAGGAGAGATTTCTCTGTTTTTATAATTTTTTTCTGATGCATATACATGTTTTGATATTGTATAAACCCCCAAGGAGCTAAGATTATTTTCAATGAACATGATTACAATAATGATGTTCATTCATAATATCGTATACGCCTTAATTTTCAAGGTGCATTAAATTTCGTTATTTTTGTGGTCACCTTAAATCCACAAAATTTAAACCACCTCTAATGCCATTCTATTGTATGTAGACTATGGCCAGAAGACAAAAGTTAGCTCACACAAATATTAACTTTTGAGCACATTTCATTGAAAACACAAAATTTTAAACCCTCAAAAAATTTGAACGTATAGGGTAAGTATTTTTTTTCCTATATGGTATCTACCCATGATGAAAATTACTGACGGCAAGAAGGCCTCAAGATCAAAAGATAATGACCTATGACCACCTTTTTATTCTTTATTACTTATTAATTTATCTTACAATTAGCTATGCTATTTATTATTAAAAAAAAAAAAAAAAAAAAAGAATATCAAAGGCGGTGACACCACCTGGCCATTTTTGTGAGCGCTACAAGGTACTATAGGCTCACAAGCAGAAGTTATGGAAAGTATGGAGGCTAGACTACATCATATAGACCAGGTAACTATTGCTGCAGCATAGCTTTCTTGCTATGCTTCAATTCGGCACCTTGGGCTTTGATCTGCCTTTGACGTGGAGAGCTTCTTGCCGTCAGTAATTTTAATCGTGGATGGCTACCGTAAATAATTCATTCAAAATAGTCTCAGCTCCTAAAAGGTCTATAGCAAGCTTGAGCTAATTCCAATCAAAAATTAGATTTTTATAAAATTTTTAAAAGTTACTCATAAATCGGGCGAAACAGGGTCTTTGGCCAAAATTAATCTTGCCAAAAAATTAATGATTTGTAGCAAGTTCGAGTTGATTTTGATTAATATGAATTTTTAAAGTTGCCCCAAAGCCACATACTTGTCAGCTACTGAAGATAGCTTTGCCTAGCCACCTCTCTGCCGGGCTATCATGATTCATGAAGCTCATGCTTTTCAAGTTAGCTCACTTAGCATGCTTTGAATTGTGGGAAACCCAACAAGGATATACCTTAAATCAAGAGTATAATATATATAATGCTTAAATACAACTCAATTTTTTGGCACTTTAATCATAGAAGACCTACCAAGTGGCTTGATATCAAGCGTAACAGGTATATCCTCAACGACACCATCAAAATCACTTGTGTCCTGGTAATCATGCTCCCCGCCTTTGCCAGTAACAAACTTAGAGCCTCCTTCATCAGCAACAGGACTTAAGCTAGGTTTACACTCGACACAAAACGCAATGCAAATGAACGCAAAATTGAAATTTGACCAATTTTGCGTCAACTTCAAAGCGTTTTTGCGTCAAAAGGTTAAATCGCCCACGCACTTTTCACCGTTTCGTCGAATGTAAACCTAGCTTAACAGTAGTCCCGCGCGGCCAGACTAGACCTGGTTCAGGTTCAGTTAGATCATCATCCCCTAAGTAAGCATGTACATTAACTGATTATAAGTGTAAAAACAACTTACCTCTGTTGTCAGCTCGGTTGTCAACCATTGATTGAGTCTTCAGTCCTTCCCAAAAGTCAAAACAATAATAATTAATTACACATTATATTCCACACCCAACACTTAGCGTAAACAGGAGTTGATCACAGGAAATGAATAAAGCCATAGATTTAATACACAGACTGTGTATTAAAACTATGATAAAGCAGCCTAAAATCAATGAATTAAAAGAATTTTATTATAAATAACTTAAAGCTTTTAAAGGTGCACTTCAAGCTCAGTCTCTGATCCTTTGTTGTTCTGTCCAGTGCATCAGCAACGTTAGGAATGCTGCGGATCCATCATTCTTTATACTATCCCAAATTTCCTTTTTGTTTGCAATAATATTCAATAGCTTCGGTTGACTTTTGTCATGCACAATCCTTTCTGACAACTTAACAACAAGGTTGGCTAACTTGGAGGCCTCGAAAGAATCTATAAAAATATAAATAAGATATCGTAGATGCAAGTACTACATTTTCATTGGTAGGCCTATATGCAATCAATTTGAAAGCTGGTTTCTAGGGATCTTGCATCTGCTACTGCTATGAGAAACTGTTGTGTTTTGCTACAAAACATGCATCCATTAACTCAATCATTATTATTATTATCTCCATAGGTGTTGCCGGCTTATTCACAGTATGATCAGTAGTGACCCAGATCACTTTAATGGTTGCTATAAAAATGTCATTAAAAATTGAAAATTGCTCTATAAATAATATATAACCTGTATCTATTTTCTAGTTCACACACATACATGAGTTTATACTATAAATTAGTAGAGTACTACTTGTGGGGTCGTGGCATTCCTATTTCCTCCAATTTTTCTTCGAGAAAAGACGCATTACCACATCTCTCCTCCCAAGCCAACAGGATTATCATGGCAGCTTTCTTTTTGTCACTAAGATCTGGAGGTGCTTCGATTTGTAGTACTTCAGCAAGTCTAGATACATCTATATCAGATTTTTCAAGCCATTCTCCAACTTCAATAATTGTCTTAGATCCTATAGGATCACCTATAAGAAAATTAATAAAATTACTGTGCACAATTATTAGTCAAAATTAAGTGACTAGGAGGGAATTCTCCATTTAAATTTTT